AAAGAGGTGTTTTGACAACAAAATTGAGCAGCCATGATTAGCTTGATAAAAGGGAGGGCTATTTATGGTATGCACATCTAGGATCTAGTTACAAAATGGGCTCTCCTGAATTCAAACTGTGAGAGGCCAATGTCCCTGAAACTTTGGGGGGAGGGTTAGTTGATTCTGTTGCTGCTATTGCTTGAGTAACTCTTTATACATATGAAAAATGAGACATTAATAACCCTGACCAGAGCCAGCCATTGTGTGAGGAGTCATTGTGTACATTTCCTTGCTTAGCAAGCCGGTGGAGTTGGAATCTTGACACTGAAAGCAACATCGAATGTAGGTGAAAGCAGAGGGGCAGACGGTCTGGTTACCTTGCTCCAGGCTTCAAGAAGGGCATTACTGAGACTGGAGGGCCCCTTTGCATCTCCTGACATAACTCATCTTCCAATCTGAACATTTAAGGCTGACCCAACAGTGTATTAAACCTCTGCCCAGCCTCACCCAAAGGCAATCCTGATAGACAATTAACAATAGGGATACAAATGTGGAAACATATGATAAATGGTTTTTGGGTGTAGCTTTGGCCTGCTATCTTTGTTCAGGAGAAGATTGTTGCTGCTAAATAAAGAGATGGAAAGGCAGCCCTGGGGTAGCATCTGGAGAGAATGAAGGTGAAACTGACTGTGCCCATGCGGTGTGCCTGCTTTTTCTGGGGGAATGGGGAGCAACTATCTGACGGGTCACGCACGCATTTAATACAGCTGGCTGTACGCAGTATTTCTTTTCCCGGTCTTGGGCAAAGTATCTTCTTTAGTGAGCAGCAGCACAAAGAATTGTGTCAACAATTGTCACGCTGCAATAAATTGGTAAACTCCTGCCAAAATGAACGCCTTTTCAGCCCTAGTGGCTTTAACGGGTAAAGCAGGTGATTTCATTTCTCCAGATGGATCCTGAAGTGCTTCACTTTAAAAGAGAAGATGCCCAGTAAAATCTGCACCAGTGAACGAGTTTGAAGACTGCTAGGGCAGGGCTGCTCCATCCTCCTCAGCATGTACACGTGCTGAATTCTGATGTTCAGAACCTGCAAAGTGCACCGTATGGTTCATTTCTAGGTTTCTGGACATTGGGCACCATTGATGGTGAACCTCAGGAGAAGCCCCCTGGAAATGGCTTGTGTTGCTGGACACATTTCCTGCATGCAGAAGGTTCCTGGCTTGGCAGAGGCCCTGGCACCTCTAGGAAGGGCTGGGAAAGACTGTTGCTTGAAATCCTGGAGTATTACAGCCAGCTGCAGTCAGTAACACTGCAAGATGGACCAATGACTTGACCCTGCTTCCCATGAGGTCATTTTGAATTTGCACCTCAGGCAACACCATTGGGTTGTATCCAATGGTAGCCTGACTTAAAGCATGGCTGGCTTAAAACCCATTCAGGTTCATTGGGTTGCTCCAATAGGACTAACACTGGATACAATTCTTTACGTCTTCCTAGTTCTCCTTTGGGTCTTTTCTAACCAGTAAACATCCTTTTTGGACTGTGTGCCCAGAAGTGAATACAATATGCCAAATGGTATTTCCAAGCAGGGCAACAGTGTACCTTCTGGGGTCTCAGAAACAACCCTTTGATTGATGAAACTTAAAAGAGTGGCTCCATTATCTTTTTGGGTTGCAACATCACCTTATACTCTCTTTAGAAGCACGGCCATCGAGTCTATTATTCTATCTTCTCCATAAGGGCTTGGCCCTTGTTTCTACTAGGCTATTTTGTCTCACATGCCAAGTGAGCCTTCTCTGCTGCCTTCCATGGAAGATGCCAGCTGCTTGTGCATGCTTTTTCTGATGTGGGGGGAGCGGGGTGGACAAAACCCATTATGAATAATCAAGAATTTACTTTTCTCTTAATTGTGGCTCAGAACAGACAAGTGAATGAGACAGAATTCTAGGTTCCGGGCGTTTAATGTAAGTAACCACAACACTGTTTCTATGGATACCTTTTACTCTAAGGTCACCTGGACCATTAGTAATTCCCACCCCCGACCTGCTGAAGGTCTTTAATTCCGCTAGATGGCGCATTTACAAAGAGAAAACTAATCTCTCCTGCCAGGTGTCAGAGCAAACTTCGGGGTGATCTCTGTCCTGCCTTTGCTACCTGCAGGTTTTTGCTTTGTATGGATTCCACTTGTGTTGTTGTTGTTGCTACCTCGGTCCTAGGCTGCAGACATGATGTGCTGGCCCACACAGTCCAGAAAAATATATGTTTGGGACTACATTTAAAGGAGCTATTGCCTAAAGTAGATCTTTATTTTGGGCCGGAAAAATGAGAGGAGATAAATGCTCTTCAGACTTAATTATTTGGACAACCTAAGCAAGGGTATTTCTGCGGGGGGGGGGGATGATGGGTCGTGGCTGTCCCCGCCCGAGCGAGGCTGCCCGGTCCTGCCAGGCGCGGGGACGCCGCTCCAGCAGCCCGTGCGCTGGAATGTGATCTCGCCAGCAGTAAACAGCTCGCGTTGCCCTCGAGGGATACAGAACCGAGCTCGGGCGTTTTGTCAGATGAGTGGAATTAAAAGTATTTGCAAATTGCATTTCTACTCATAACTCTGTCAAATGAGCAAAGGTATATTTCGGATCACCTGTCTGTGTAGGACATATGAGACAATAGTTCCCCTTTGCTTTCTTTTCTCCCCCACTCCACCCCACCTCCGCCCCGCTTTTTTTTCTTTTCTTTTTTCTTTTTCTTTTTTCAGTGCCAGAACTGCGCCGTTTCCAGCACCGGCAGGGCCCGGTTACTATTAGCGTTCGAGGAATCCTCCCTTCTGCTTTTGCGATAAGGTGGGGAGGGGGGTAATGATAAAGTCGACACCTCCGAGGGCGCGAAGTCCTGCTGCGTGGATCACACACAAGCCCGCTCGCTAAGGCCGGGCTGGCGGGGAAGGCGCACCCGCGCGGCGCGCCCTGGGGTCGGAGCGGGGCCAGGCTGCGGGGAGGGGGCAGCGGGTCGGCCCTTCGGCTCAGAGGACCCAGCAGGCAGGGCAGCAAGAAGGCGACTCCCGAGCGGGGCCTTGGCGGAGGCGGCCAAGCCCGTGGGGGCGGCGGCGGCCAAGGCACCCGGGTCACGGCGAGTCCACTGGGAAGGGAATCCGGAGGGTGAGATCCGGGTCCCGAGGGAACGCGCTCCTCCTGAGACCTCCTCGCCCGGCGCTTCCTCTCCACAGCCTGGGGAGAGGCGGCGATCGCGAACACGCCCCCTCCCGCCCCGTCGCAGGACGGCCCCAGCGCAGCGCAGCGCAGCGCCCTCCGGGGCCCCCGCGCCGCAGCAGTCGCCGTGTGCGCGACACCTGACGGCCGGCAGGGCGAGCCGCTTGCTCCCCTCCGGGGCTCCCTTGTCCGGAAGAGTCAATAAACAAACAAGCGCCGTGCCCGGATCGCAGGGAGGGTGCGCTGCGGGCGCGGGGGGGGGGGGCGCCGGCGTCGGCGGCGAGGGGGGCAAGCTGAGCACCCTCGCGAAAGCGGCCCGGCAACAATGGCCTTTTCTTCGCGGGCTTCTGTCTGGGAGTCTCGCCTCGCAGTTAATAGCGGCAGATAGGATCTAAATTGTCCGGAGCTGGAGGCTTTCGATCGCGGTGCTGAACAAAACCGCGGATTCAGCCCCCGGGCAGCCGCTCCGTTGCGCTGCCGCTGAGGATCAGCTCAACCCCCCCCCCGCCCCGGGGCTGCCCTCTCCCCTCGGGCTGCAGAGATGCGGGACTGCTCCCTTCGCTGCATGCGCCGCGCAAACGGGGGAGCCGAACCGAAGGGGGGTGCGGCTGGAGCGTGGGCACATAGCTGGTTGGGTACCGCCAAAAGCCAAACCGGGGAAGGAGGGAGGAGAGGACAGGGAAGGGGGCGCCCGGGCCCTGTGGCTGGACCCCGTGAGGCAACGGCCGGATGCTTGCCTTGGCGCGCCCGGGACCGTGGAGGTGCGCACGCCCGTGCACGGCCCAGGGAAAGTGCAGCCTTACCGGGCGCCAAACCATCGATCGGCTTTCGGGACGGCTTGGAAAGAGCGACAGGCAGCACCGGCGCGGGGGTGGGAAGCGCCATGACCCGCCACCCCGAGCTGACAGGGAGGGAAAACAGGATAGAGGGAAGTGGACTGTCCCGATCAGCGGGAGATAAACCGGAGGGCAGTGCCGCCGAGGCCGCGGAGGGGTCAGCTCTGCCCCTGCGCGTCCCCGCAAAGCTCGCCTCTCCAGCCGAGAAGCGAGCGATCCTGCGCGCTGCGCTGCCGCTCAAGCAGCCGGAGGGGCGTCTTCCGTAGATCCTTCCCTGCTGCAGAACCTCGGCGGGAAGGGCTGGGGAACCACTCACAACAACTCCGGGAATTGGGCTTTGGGTGTTGTTTATTTTTAGTAAGCAGGTGATTTTTCGGTGTGTGATAGTGGATTGCTCCCCCCACCGATACTTTTGTTTTTCCTCCCACCCCCACCCCGGCTGGACTACTCCCTCCTTTGGAGAACACGCCCAAGTAGGCTGAAGAAGAGAGAAAAGAAGGCGAGGGAGATAGTAACATTGAACCTGAGGGGAAGCGCTCCGGAGCGGCGGCGGCGGCGGCGGCTGCTGCGCGCTGCGAGAGGGAGAGGTTATTGGCGCCCAGACCCCCCCCCCCCGCCCGCGCTCTCAAGTATTACGTGTGACAGGCATACAAATCCGGAATAGCGAGAGGGAGTGAAGCGAGACCCAGTGGAGGGCGATGCTGATTGTCTCTCGGGATTTACAAACACACACCGCTCGCGCCGGGTGGCTCCGATCGCAGGAGGGCTGGTCTTGTTTTGTCTGCGCTACTTTGACCTGGCGTTGCACTGTCTGAGGCACCGAGAAATTAACCCGCGTGAAAGGAGGAGAGGGGCGGGGGAGAATAGCATTGTCAGTATCGGCGGCGGCGGCGGCGGCGGCATCACTTGGTGTTCTTCATTTTTTTTAAAAAGACACAATTTCGCATGTTGATCTGAAAGCCCACAATAAACGAGGAATATGAACAGGAAAACCAGGCGCTGGATATTCCACATCTTTCTCAGTCTAGGGATCGTCTATATCAAAATTGGGTAAGTCACCTCCCCCCACCCCCGCGCCTTTTAAAGGCAAACACGCTGTGCCCAACCTGCCCAGACCTGCTAGGGCTCAACTTGGGGGAAGTCTGAGAGAGGCTGCCCCCCTGCTTTTTCTTTCCTTTATAGTCAGGGCGAGAATAGGCTTTGTATGGCTGCTGTTCTCAGGGAAATTCTGAGTGCGCGCAGCTCTGGGGAAACACGGCTCGCCCGCGCTGTGGATGGCGAGAGGCATGACCGGAATGGCAAGAGGCGGCCGCGGGTGCGGGGCCACTGGCGCCCGGCCCTCCTCCGCCCGCGGGAGCCAGCCCGGCGCGACTTCGTCCTGCCGGCCGAGCTACGCTTGGGCGAGCTCAGGCGAGGCAGGCCAACCTCCTTCGACTTGAGATCGGCTTTGCCCAGAGCGATTCCTTTAAAAAGCGAGGGCACTGGGCCGAAGTTCTCCACCTAATTCGCGGTCTGCCCGTGGCTGCCCGCGGGAGGACGTGGGAAGCACTCTGCACATGTTCGGGAAAGGCGCTAGTTCTTCACACGCTCCGGGAATGAGATCCCCTGGAGACGAGCCCGGGACTGCCCCTCGCTGAAGCGACCGGGGGATACGCCGAGCCCGCAAATATGCGAGCCAAACGAGGCGTCGCGTCGCACCTGCCCACGGCCGGGCGCTCCGCTACAGGGAGCGCGACCGCTCGGCGGCCCGGCGCTCCTCCGGGCTCAGCGGCTGGGTCGCCACCCGTGCCCGGCTTGCGCAGCCTTGCTCGTGGCCGCAGGCACGGTGGGCGCAGCGCGACCTGCCGCACATCCGCCTGCAGGCGGGCCCGGTTCCCAGCAGCGCGGCGCTGGATTTCGAATCGAGCGCGCCCTGCTGATTCACACGCTCGCGATTTGCTCGTCCAGGCGGCGCGCCCGAGCCCCCGCGCCCGAAGCACGGGCGGCTGAGGACCGGCGTGTGCGGCGGGGCGGGCGCGCTCTCCGCTGCGGTTCCGGGAGGCGGGCGACCCGGTTCGGAAGCGTGTGAGCGCTGCACGCGCAGGTGCCGCCGCAGGCGCCCTCTCACGACCACCGCGCAGGGACGCTGGAGGAGGGCCGCGCCGCGCCGCGCCGCTCCCTCGCGGGGCGGGACTTCGGGGCCTGCGTGCGGGCGAGTCAGGCGGCGGCAGCCCGATCCGAGCCCCGGGGAGCCCGTGCGCTGCTTGCGGCCCCGCGGGCCCCTCCGTGGCCTCCGGGCAGGGGCGGCGGCGGGCAGGGACCGGCGCGCGCGTTCTTCGACGGCCCAGGACGACGGGCCCGCGGTGGCGCCTCCCGGGCGCCTGCTCCGGACCCGCGCGGCCCAAGTCGGGGAGCGCGGAGGCGACGGCCGAGCTGCGCAGCTCTTCGACCGGCCCGTCCCCGCGTCCTTCTCGCTCTGCCCCCGCCCCTCGCCGGTTCCCCCCCGGGACTCCCCGAAGGGCCGGCGGCGAGCGGAACGGAGCCAGCGCTGGGCCCGCTTCGGCCGCGGGCTGGTGCGCTGCGGGACAGCGCGAGGGGTTCGGTTCTGCTCGACGAGGTGCTGCGACCTGCCAGTCGGCTCGGGCAAGCGGCGCCCGCGAGCGGGGAGGAGGGGGCAGAGGGAGGGCAGGCCTCGCCGGCGCCCGGGGAAGAGGGAGTCGGCGCGGCGCTCTCTCGGGCTCCCCTACGCGGGAGAGGGAGCGGGAAGGCCGGGGGCGGAGGCCACCGCGGAAGTGGCAGCCCCCTTGGCTCGGTGGCAGGTGGCGCTGCCTGTCGCAGGACCCCCAAGCTGGCGCCCGCCAGGTGTGTCGGACTGCAGCTCCCAGGGTGGTGGCCGGGGTGACCGTGGCGGGCACCCGCGGAGAGCACCAGGCTGGGGTGGCTGCCGGAGGGGGGGGCTCGTTCACCCTCAGGACTTGATGGGCAGGGCAGAAGCTGGACGGGCTTTGAAGGCATCTGCCTGGACTTTGGCGCCAAAGCAGCCCCACCACTTCCACTCCATTCAGAAGCATGTTCTGGTGGATCGAGCCCAGTTGCGGGGGCGATGTGAGTTTTGTTCATGCAGCCCGTGTCTCTCCCTTCCCTTTCCAGGGGCTTTTCCTCGGTCGTGGCTCTGGGGGCCAGCATCATCTGCAACAAGATCCCAGGCTTAGCGCCGAGGCAGCGGGCGATCTGCCAGAGCAGGCCCGATGCCATCATCGTGATCGGAGAAGGCTCTCAGATGGGGATCAACGAATGCCAGTTCCAGTTTCGCAACGGGCGGTGGAATTGCTCCGCCCTGGGAGAGAGGACCGTCTTCGGAAAAGAGCTGAAAGTGGGTATGTTGCCTCTTGAATATACGCTGGGGTGAGGTGCTTGCCGCAGTCCGCTGAAGAGTTACTGGAAGAAGAGGGCAAGGCATGGGAGGCGTCAGGGGAGGGAGTGTCAGCGAGGGCATCATTGCACGCGCCCTCGCAGCACGTGGAGGGTGATGGGGGCCTGTCCTTGCCGAGCAAGTGGGGCAGCCTCCCTCTGCTCCGTGCCCTCGGCTGCCTAGGATGGCTCCCGGCACCTCCAGCCAGGTGTGGTCCAGTGTGCAAGGAGGGCAGCGGGTTGTGCAAGGCTGGTCAACGTGTTACTCCGCTCACCTAGCCCTGCTGGTTTGCTTAAGGCTCCGGTTGTCCTTGGCATCTTATTTTTCTGTGGTGCTGTGAGAACGCAGTCCTCTGGGCACTTCGTGGAAGAGCGGAACTTGTTTCCAGCTGGGCTATACTGCAACAAGACTGCAGGCAAAAGTCCAGTCACTAGGGAAGAAGTCTTGCTGAACTTGATGGGACTTACTTCTGAGTAAGAATGCTTCAGGGAATGCTAACGGGGCACTTTCATTTGTTTATCTGTTGTATTTCTATCCCACCGCTCTCCCATTGTGGAAATCAAGGTGGCTACATGTGTTTCTCCCCTCCAAGTTCAGGCCAGCCTCAGACCTGCTTAGCTTCAATATGGTGGATGCCTGATCTGCTGTCAGACCATCCTCGGGGCCATATTTTGGTTATTTTAGCACATAACCCTAAAATATGCCTTTGAGCCAGTTTTAAACTGTTTTGTTCAACATGCCAATATGACACAGGCAGAATAAAAATCCATTTAGATAATGAATATCTTCTTTAGTCAGTGTAGGTTTATGGTCATGTTATAAACCAGGTTAAGGTGGTGGCAGAGAAAGTGTAAGTCGTATGTGTGGAAGTGCCATAACAGGTTGGATCCAGATTTAGGCTAGATCAACTTGCACCAAAGGAAGTGGACTGCCTTTGTCCACCCTGTCCTCTCCATGATCACGCCGCCCCCCGCCCCCGGGGTCCTGAAAACGCTATGCAAAAAGCCAGGAGTTGCTGCTGAATGGGGTGAAGTGCTCTGAGGAGGGGAGACCCCCCAAAAAATCAGGGGAAGGGACTTTGTGCCAATGAGCCTTTCCTGTGGTGAAGGAGAGGTCCTGTGTCCAACCCAGGAAGTATGTTCTTGCTCTTTTCCAATGTTGTACGTGTGAGTTGTGAATACTAATTGTATGTGAAAGAGAATTGCTTTTTAAACTATCACTTCTTCCTTCTAACCAAATAGCATTTTACATTTGCACTGCAAATGTAGAAAATACAAGGACTGATTTTAAAATGTTTTAAAGGAAACCCACCTTATGTCCAGCATTATCCACATGTGATGCTTACGCCAGTTCAGAGGTCACAAAATAGGGTGCCCGCTTTTGTGATCGCCATATCTCGTAATCAGGTCAGATGTCATGAACAGCTTGTAACATCTTGCCTAATTAGGTGGGGCAGGGGAGGGAGAGTGCTTGACAGTGCCAAAGGTATGAAGTTCTGTGGGATCAGAGTGTTAAGAAGGTATGTGGGAGGAGCTCGCCGACATTCAGGCCTGGTACTTCTCCCTGCTGTGATGGTTTCAGGACCATCCCTAGGCCTGCGGGAGGAAGAAACAAACAAAGGCTGTTCCCCCATTTGGAAAGTATGAAATCCAGCTGTTACTCCGAACTGTCTCCATACTTAGGTGAAACACACCTGCTTCTTGGTACATAGAAAGCAAATATGTGAAGAAATCACATTTGTTAAACTTGACAATACTGAAGAGAATGTTAGTTCTTTTGCCAGGTAATCAACCTGCTATAGTCAGAATCCAGGTGGTTAATGTGTCAGATTTCCTTGGTAGTACTGATTGTGGAGTAATGAATGTGTTATCCAGTGGTGTGATGATTGAGCCTGGTCTAAGGAAGGATTTACACATCTGAGACCCTCATTTAAGGCACAATCCTATGCAAGTTTAGACAGAAAAGGGCCCCTAACTCCAGAGGTCGCAGACACCAGAGCCTTGCTTCTGGCTAAACTTGCATAGTATTGCACCCTAACTTGCTTAGGAGTCCCAATCTTCTGTTCCCCAGGGCTTTAAACACATCTGGTCCATTCCTTGTCTTCCAGCTGAGACGTATTTGAGATTGGCATGTAACAATGGCTGCTACCAATGTCTGAGGAACTCTTTGTCTGAGGAACTCTGAGGAACTCTACCATCTCTATGGTAGAGAAGAGGAATGTGTGGCCCTTCAGTTGTTGTTGGACAGCAACTCCCATCATTTGCCGCCATTGGCCATGTTGGCAAGGGGTGGTGGGAGCTGAAGACCAACACCATCTGGAGGACCATCACATATTCCCTGTCCTCTTCTGTGCCCTGGTTTCCTAAACCAAGATTCAGCTGTGAGAGATCACCAAAGATCTGTAGAACCTTGCTTTGTGAACATGGACTAGGATAGGAACAGAGCGAGTCAGAAGGGGCCTCCCAGGCCATCTAGTCTGATCCCCGGCTTCAGCCAGCTCTGCTCACGACATGCCCAGGATGAGTGTGGTGAGGTTCTCTTTCCACAACATTAAATGTAGGCTGGAGTCTTGTTGCACTGGAGGGTACAGAAGCGTTGCTTTTAGACTGGTGCTTGGAATAATCAGGAAGAGAGCCAGTGTGATGTAGCGGGTAGTGTGTTGAAATGGGAAAGGAGAGGCCTGGGGTCTTGTCTCCACTTGGCTGTGAGGGTCTCTGAGTGACCTTTGGCCCACAGTGGACTCTCAGGCAAGCTACCTCCCAGGGTTGGAGGGAGGGCAAAATGGAGAGAAGGAGGGCCATGGAAGTCACCTGGAATTTCCTGGGGTTATAATATAGAGACCAAATGAAGCAGAGCACCAGAAACACCACTGCGGGATATAAGCATCACAGAGTCTCTCGCACTGAATTTCCTGAATGGATAGCAGTCATCATGGATAGCAGTCATCATCATGCTTAGTCATTTTATCAGTTTCCGACGATCATGGCCTTCTGTTGCAGTATTCAAGGCTATCTTGGTGACTAGGGTGATTCTGGCACATAAGATTCCATTTTGAGCTCCTGGATAAGACTTACCCATGCCTTTTTGTTTTATAGTGGAAAGTGGAACTCAGTACTTCCCATAAAGTCAGTGGTGACAGAACAAGAGAGAATTAGGTGACCTTACTGGGATTATTGCTTCCATGTGTGAACATCTTTGAGCTAGACTGTGACCACTGACAGTTGAGCTGTGCCTTGAAATGCTGCTGTTTCATGTATTGCGACTTCTTTTTCTCCAAACAGTTACTAATAAATCAGGCTGCGCTCTTATGCATGCTTACCACTGACCTCAGTGAACCTTTCTTCCAAGTAGACGTGAATCAGACTGCATTGTTACTTATCCAGTGCAAAAGAAGAATGTCATTTATGTTTGCACATCACTCAAAAATGCCGGTAGAATTGTTTGCAAGATCTTCCAGTCATGTCTGAAAAATGCACCCCACAGAGGCAAAGCAGCACTGGGGGACAGCTGGGAAAGACTTCCCCGCTTCGTTGCTCGCAACAGGCAGGTCACTTCAAACCCCAATGTGGGGAGACAGGCATGTCCCCTTAACTCACAAGCCTTGTGCTCCTCCCCCCACTGGGTTTCCCTTCGTTGGCCACCTCCAAAGGTACCATTGTGGCCTTGATGCCATTGCGTGAGCTCCCACAACACAGCAAGCCTCTCTAACTGGATCCAGGCAGCACTGCCCCGGTTTGTAAGCCACCATGGCTTATCATGTCGTGTGAATCTATTAACTATGTTTGAAAGGGGATAAAAATAACATTTTAATGGCAGGAAGGGAAGAGGAACTAAAGAGCCTCTTGATGCAGGTGAAGAAGGAGAGAACAAAAGTTGGCTTGAAACTCAACATTAAGAAAACTAAGATCATGGCATCCAGTCCTATCACTTCCTGGCAAATAGATGGAGAAGAAATGGAGGTAGTGACAGATTTTATTTTACTGGGCTCCAAGATCACCACAGATGGGGACTGCAGCCAAGAAATTAAAAGAAGTTTGCTCCTTGGGAGGAAAGCTATGGCAAATCTAGACAGCATACTAAAAAGCAGAGACATCACCCTGCTGACAAAAGTGTGTATAGTCAAGGCTATGGTTTTCCCAGTTGCAATGTATGGCTGTGAAAGCTGGACCATAAGGAAGGCTGAGTGCCAAAGGATTGAGGCCTTTGAATTGTGGTGCTGGTGAAGACTCCTATGAGTCCCTTGGACAACAAGGCGATCAAACCAGTCATTCTTGGAGGAGATCAACCCTGACTGCTCTTTAGAAGGCCGGATACTGAAGATGAAACTCAAATACTTTGGCCACCTGATGAGAAGGAAGGACTCCCTGGAGAAGAGCCTAATGCTGGGAACAATAGATGGCAGAAGAAGAAGGGGACAGCAGAGAATGAGGTGGCTGGATGGAGTCACTGAGGCAGTTGGTGTGAGCTTGAGTGGACTCCGGGGGATGGTGGAGGACAGGAAGGCCTGGAGGAGTGTTGTCCATGGGGTCGCAATGGGTTGGGCATGACTTTGCGAATGATATAACATAACATAACATTTATTTTTATACACACATAAACATTGTTATTATTTCATATCGCTTTTTTGCTAATATAAGAGAGCTCTCTTAGGAATCATGTGAGGTCAGCAGCTATATTGTTTTCTCTACAGATGTGTAAAGTATTAGCATTTCTGTTCATCGTTTTATGCATATCTCTCTTTTACAAGAGTAATAGGTGGTATGTTGGCCAATGGTATTGATTGTGGGCCTGTGTTCAGACAGGAGCCCCTTGAGCAGGGGTTATCCTTGAACTGCAGCTTTTTGTTGAAAGGTGGGTTAATATGTTTTTGGAACCCAGTCAAGATATCAAACCATGGTGAAAACAAGCCAAAAACAAACAATGGGTTTTCTTGATTGGTTGTTTGGTATTGACCAGTTACTGGTT